TGTTGTCTCTCACATCAAAATCCAGCCACATATTTGTTTAGAGCTGTTTAAACGCTGCTTGATCTGTGCAGATTTCTCTCCTGATTCACACCAGAACATTTTTTCACTGGAGGAAGAGTTATTATGGATTATGGACTCAATGTATTTTAGTTAAATCGTCTTAATGCTGGATGTGTTTCAGCTTTTGTCTTCTCCAGATGTTAACTGATGGACTGGAGTGCTGTGGATTACTTGTGGATTATTGTGATGTTTTTATCAGCTGTTTGGACTCTCATTCTGACGGCACCCATTCACTGCAGAGCATCCATTGCTGAGACACTGATGCAATGCTACAATTTTACAAACCTGATGAAGAAACAAACTCATCCTGATCTCTGATAAACAGTACATGGGTATATTTTCAGCACATTTTCATTTTTGGCTGAACTATTCCTTTTAACAGTGTTTTAAAGACAATGTGTTTGATCACTACATGAGGTTTAGGCTGTTAGCACTAATGATGTTGTGTAATCGTTAACAGTGTGACTGATGCTTGTTTTCGGGTCGCAGTGATTGGAAACACCCGAAGGCTCTTAATGCAAATGTGAAGCAGGTGACTTTAAAAGCAGCAGATGCTCAGTAAGAGGGAATAATGGAGCTGTTTGCGTCTGGAAATGTGAAGGAATCATCAGGCTGTGAACCTCAAAACAGACTAAACAGTTTATGAACAGATACAGCTGCATAAATATCGCTGATAACGTATACAGCAACTAAATCACACATGCATTCATTCTGACAGGAGGTTTTGGTGCAATCTAATGAGATTTTGTGATTGACAGTGTCCTCAACCGCTGGGCGCCAGATGCAGATGTGAGTAGATCTGAGGAAAACACTGGGCTGGTTTGTGGTTCAACACAAGAATAGCATTTTAGGTGAATTATTTCTTTAACTAGCTGTTATTCATAATGACAGTCATAAACGTGCATCATGTCAGTGGTGCAGGAAAGAAAATACATTTACATGGTGTTTATATGTGTGAACGTTCCATTATTATTATTAATTTGTTTGGATTTGTCAAATTAGCTCATGAGTTTTGGGCTTTGTGTTTTTTTGGGGTTCCAGTTAAATGTGTGACAACTTGCCCCAGTGCAAAATTCAACCACTTCCGTTATATAGTCAGTCATCATAATATATGTCAGTGTGGCTTTATTGTGTTCAACTATTAGAAAATTATGATGATATTGGAGACAGAATTCACAATATTATCCTGATTTTAGACCTTTTTGAATTAGATAAACGTGACTCTGGAGCACAAAAGCAGTGTTAAGTCGCTGGGGTATATTCATACATCAATGGAAAGCTTATATTTATTTAGCTTTCAAATGATGTTAAAAATCTCAGTTACAAAAAATTGACCCTTATGACTGGTTTTGTGCTCCAGGGTCGCATATCATAGTACAAAAGCACTGCTAGAGCCTGTGACAACTAGCCCCGGTCTGATGCCTTTAGCACTTACAGAATGTTGTAAACATTCTTCTGTTTTCCATGTGAGCGGTTAAACGAAGGCCATGTGCTGAGAATAACCTCTGGGGTCATGAGGCGTCTGAACTCTGGAGGATTCTGGGACAGGTCTGTGGGAATCAGATGGGGCTTGTTAAACGCACGCGGCCGAAACACTGCTCCTCTCCAGCACTTGAGGCGAGATGTAGGAACTTCAAAGGCCATGGAGGTTTGTCTTAATGAGCGTCTCTCTGAGGTGCGGCAGGAACCGTGTTCGTTTGCAGCGTTTCATCTTTATCCTGAGCGATTATTACAGAGAAAGTGGAGCGTTAGCAATTAAACATGCTGCTGTTCACAAGTGCAGGCCTTTGATAGTGAAATGAGTTACAGATATTACACTCACACTCACCTGTAACCAGCAGTGCTGGGTAACACATTACAAGTAACGCCAGTTACGTAATCAGATTACTTTTTAAAAGTAACTTGTAAAGTAACGCATTACTTTTTAATTTACAAGAAAATATCTGTTACTTTTTCAAATAAGTAACAGCAGTTACTTTGTTTCCGCATTTATTGATTGAAAGCTCTCCTGTACCCATGTTGAGAGAAATCAGAAGATGTTACTTTAGTTCTAGAATAATTCATCTTGCTCACAAAAAAACAGATTCAGTATTCCTCAAAATGAATAAAAACGTTGAAATGCAACACCGAATGTGACACAAACATGCAATAATTAAATGTTAAATATTACAAATATGCTTTATGTATTTAATAAAATGGGATTAAATACATATGATGTCTTTGCTGCTGACCTCCAATGATCCAATTCAATCATACTAATAAGCAAAAATTACTCAAGATAAACTAACATTTGTTCTTTTTTTTATCGCTGAACTTTCTTCTTCTGCATTCTACTGTACAGACGTGAATACTTTTCCTTCAGCCTGAGGCTTTTGGTGTGAAAGTGCTTTATTTGCCAAAATCAGAACTTTTATATTAAAATCAAACAAGCAAGCCCTGCCCAGATTTAAAAAGTAATGTAAAAGTAAAGTAACACCCTTGTAACCAGTGTTGGGCTTGCATTACAATATTGCATTACTTCATAAAAAAGTAACTAATTGCGTTACTTTTGTTACTTTTGGTCACTTGGGCTGGGCTTGCTTATTTATTTTTAATCAGAAAAAAACCAAAAGTTCTATTTTTTGGAACCATAAACTGCCCTTTCACATCAAAAGTGAAATGAATAAGCCTCAGTCTCTGCACCTTTCTCAACACACGAGCTGTCAGGGAATAAACGTCAAAACAAAGTTATTTGATATTATATATTACATATTTTCTTGTATGTGTTACTTTAGTTACTTGGGAAAAGTAATCTGATTACGGACCCTCAATGCTGTCTATAAGCACATGAAGACTGGTGTTTTTTGGATTTAGTCTCGAATGTTTGTTGCATTGTTTCATAATTCATAGCTTCTTTTTTTTTTGCTGGTTTCAGTCGGTTAAGCTGATTATTGATCTTTGAGTTGATCTCTGGCCTCTGGAATGATACTGATCTTATAATGGTATTGATTAACGCTACGCTTCTCTTCAGCAGAGGCTTACAAACAATACCACTTGAGTTTAATGAGTTGATCAAGCGTTCTGTCATTTTATCATGCATTAAAATAGTTGCTTTGGCAGGTCAGTTATTCTTCCTCAGAGAAATCTTCCTAACAAGAAATAGCATGGTACAATGATGTTCTGAACATGTTTGGTATTCTCTGAAGCACCAGAAAAAATGTCAATGCCAGAAAACATGAAATGGGTTCAGTACAATGTGTATTTTGTATATATGAAAGTACCATGGTGCCACCCCTAGAGAAAAACAAATATACTCAAATCTATTTGAAATGCATGTATTTTATGCTAAGTATAGTACAAATACATTTGCATTTGTGTATTTAATAAAATACCATGCAGTTGTACTTTTAGTATGCTAAACTAATTTTGTGCCCAATGCACATTAAATGTGTGAATTTGTGTGTTTGTCGAAGTCCCACTAAAGATGTACTGAAGTATATTTGATTGTGCTAAAGTGAAACTACTGCAAGTACACTTTAAATATATTGCATCTAAAGACCGATATTATTCAAAGATCATACAATCCTCATCAATAGACATTAAAACACATTTTAGGCTTAATATTGAGAAATGTACTACATTGTGCACAAGTAGTTCTCCCAAAAAAGTTTAATTATATTATTTATATCAGTAAATGTGTTAATAGATTTAAAGTATATTTAGTATGAAATAAATGTATTTTAAATATCTTGAAGACCAGTTTGAATATGAAGCGTCTCCAGTTGCTTTATTGTCATTTACATTAGTGAAGGTGCTAATAATTAGTCACAAATGCAGCGTTCAGGGAAGGTTTTCAGAGCGTTCCGGCGAGGTTCGTTCATAGAACGTTTGTTTAACGGCATCTAGTCTTTTCAAATGTTCTCAAAACATTGTTTAAGCGTCGTGTGTGGGACTTTTTTCTAAGACGTTTGAGTTGGACGTTCATCTGACATTGTGTTTAAACTTCACATTTCAAAACCTTGCAATTGCAAAATAATTAAATATACCCAAAATGGTATATTTGGCAAATGTTTAAAAGCTGGATATTTTGAAAGTTCAGAGAAATAATGTGTTTGTAATTGCACGTTCTTAGGACATATTTGTCATGGTATCGTCATGCTGATATTTACATTGCAATATTATTGCGTTATGGCACTTTTTGACTAGTCTAGTGAATGACGTTCCTCTGCTTATGAACATGTTCCGAATGCGCATGAATATGTTTTCTTGCCTATATTTGACCAGCAGGAACAAAGAGGCGCAGGTGGTCATTCCGTCTCTGAACGGGTTTGACGCGCGTCTGACGCGTCACGAACGCCGTCGCTCATCGGGTTAAACAGTTTAGAAAGCAATCATTCAAATCCTGCAGCACTTGCACCGGATTCGGTCTGCGGTATCATAGCAACAACACCGGAGAAGCGGCGTAACATCAGCCGCAGTAACGGCGGAGCCCGAACCGAACCGGAGCGGAGCGGAGCGCGGAACAGAACTCTGGAACGGGGAACCGGCGCGCGATTAAACGGCTGAGAGGAGCCCGGAAACATTCCTGGCTGGAAATACTGGAAATAACGAACTTAACGCGCAAAATGCGGTCTTGTGAAGAGACAAAGTTTGCGTTTCGTTGCCCGAGTACGAATCTATTAGTCGTATTTCACGGTAAGCGATGGTTTTCTCCTCACACGTTCCTTCACTGTGTAGATGGAGTGGATTATATGATTTATCGATGGATGGATATATATATAAATCGAATGCATGCATGCATGTCTGTCTCCAGTGTTTTTAGCGTTCGTTAAATGTGCCGAATGTCTGTTACGCACGTTATTTTCCACGCGTAAACCTCGCCGATGTTCCGGTTTCTGTTCGGTTTTACGCGCATTTTGAGAGGCAGGTTGTTTTAAATGACCTGTATTCGTTGTTTTGTTTAATCCCTTCGTCAAAAGCGCTGTAACAGAGAGATTCAGTGTTTTCCATCTGAGCAGCTCATTTTCACAATCACCATTTTTATTAACACTCACTGCACATTTTATTTAGCTAAAACTCTATTTAAATTCGCCCTTTTTATGGTGCTGAAGTCTGTACTGAGATTATAGAAACGTTTGAATTTGTGGTAACAAAACATGAACGGTCAAATATAAGCATTAGGGTTTTAAATCGAGACAAAGTGACTAAATCTCCTCATTATGGAATAACAGCGACCTGTTTGAAGAGTAGCTGGGTTATTCATTATTGACTAGTATTGATCTGAAGGGCTGGATGCTGACACTAGAGGCTCTCAGGTCATACGTGATCAATGCATGTTAGGTTAGGTTGTGTTCTTCTGTGATTTAGAGATCTTCCAGGATCGTGATGCTGAGAACTCACGCATCTCTCTAAAATATGAAAGCTGTAAATGTATCTCAGGGAAGCGATTCATTTCACCAGGTAGATTATTACAAAACCTTGAAGAGTTCTTTGTGCTGGACGCGTCGTCCATGATGAGAACGAGAATAATCAGTCAAACACCTGAACCAGAACATAGTGTTTTCTGCAGAGTTTGGTACATCACTGCGTTTATTGTGCGCTTGGTCAAGTAAGATCTTGTTTAAATCCAGTGCAATAACTAATGCAGGAATTCATGAGATGTTGTTTATGTCAGAGCTCATTAATGCATGGAGCAAAGCGCATGAGAATCTGTTCGAGCTGACCGATCTCTCACAACTGGAATATCTAAGTGCAGTGTAAAGTCACTGACATGCATTAACTGCATGCATAAAACCGCCGTCTTTGTGGTTTTTGGCTTACAATTGAGACCTGCAGATGGTTGAAAAACCCCCTTTACTAAAGAAAACCTTTATTGTTATCACTTAAGGGGTTTGAGCAGCTGGACTCACATTGAAGCAGATTCCTTATTAGAATCCAAATCTTGCATTAGAGACCAGATCAGATGTAGTCAGGGTCAGTATGTAACGTATGAACATTTCTTAGCACGATTATAGTGACCTAAATGATCACGGTTATCAGTATTATATCACGGTGTTGTTCAAATGTGCTGGAAATGTTCAAAAAGAACTGACACATAAATCGTTTCACCTAGCTTTATATTTAAAATCAGCAACAAATAAAAACAATAACATCACCAATGATGTCCGGATTTTAAATGACAACATGACTGACAACTGTTTATCTAAAAACGTATGAAATGTTCAAATAAAGCTTTGAAAAACTTTCATAAAATGGTAAACCTCAAATTTCAGCCTTTAAATAAAGAAAAGGGATAACCGAATAATAAATGATTATATGTATTATATCCGCTCTGGATTGTATCCGAATTGTTTAAGTGTGTAGAATCCACATGAGCTTGTTTTTCATCAACCGGTCAAAATGTACAGCAGGGCATACAATAGTTTTTGGTCAGACAGAAACTGCACACAGGCTGTATGTGAGTCTCTGTAAATCCACTGTCTGACACTAGGTGGCTCTTCTGGAGCAGCAGAATTACAGCCGTTTCCCGTAAAGAGCACTACTTTATTAGGTTTTACATGGAGCGAAGATGAAAACAAAATGCCATCGAATCGTTTCTGAAGACAGTCAGAACCATCAGAGGTACATTCATATAATTAATTCATTCATATATTCATTTGTATAATTCCCTTAGCACTCTTTTAAAACCTCCCAGCTTTTCCGCCCTGTTTTCACTCACAAAACTAAACTATACTCTGCTGCTGTGCAAATGTGAGACGGTTATTTAAAACTCTGCTTTATGCTGGACAGTGTTTATATGTGACCCTGGAGCACAAAACCAGTCATAAGGGTCATTTTTTTAAATGAAAGCTGAATAATCTTTCCATTGGAATACGGTTTTAATGATAATTACAATCTCTAGTATTTGAAGCAAATGAGAACGAGGCTGCGAGGGATTGATCGATTAATAGGTGAAACCTGACGTTCCCAATCCATGAGGTTTTTGTCCTCTGGAATTAGTTTGGAAAGATGTGTTTTCAAAGAACTCAACTTGAATTGGTTGTACATCAGCTTGGTTTCCACTCGTTTCTATTAAACCTGTCTATAGTAGTGAGTTCAGTAATGGATGAAGATATTACAACCACACTGGATAAACCAAATCTGGAGAAGTGTTTGCTAGTGCAATCAGATGGTAAAGGTCATCATTTTTAGCTCCATTACCTTTACGTTTCTCTGCACTGATGATGGAGATGCAGGGAAATCATATTTCTTTTTACTGCAGCTAGTTTTACAACCAAACTCACTCTGGCAGTCTCTGTCATTTGGTGTTTTGTCCTCATGACGTGTTTATTGTCACCCGCTGCTCTCCATCCAGCTCTTCAGAAATGAACATAAAGGTCCTTGTGATCCATAAATCCTTCTCGGCCGTGTTTGAGATGTCATGTGTGTGTCTGAAGTCTGTGGATCCCGCCGCTCGTCTCTCTGTACGCTCAGATGCTCTGCTCTTTGCTTTGATGTGGAAGGATCCGCGCACACCTTTGAACTCCCGATCATCCGCTTGTCTGGACTGACGGAGCGTTTTCAGCTTTATTTCATTAAACGTGGAGTTTGTCAAACGCTCGCAGGAATTCGTCAGATCTGTAAATCTTTGCGGTTGGAAATATAGAAGCAGAGCCAAGGCAGAAATATGGGAGCTGTGTTTGTTAAAAGCAGTGTGTTTTGTAACACCAGTCTGCAGCATCTGTGGATTGTGTTGTTAGAAATGAACGAGCTGTTTGTTGACTAGTGAAGCAGAATGAGACGTGACATTAGTGATGACGTTCAAGCACATTTAGAAGAACATTTAGCTGCATGTAAGGGATTTGCAAAAGTTGATGGCTTCTTAAACCAGTTTGCAAGTGCACCTTTGTAAGAGGTTTTGCATTACTTGCAGGTTTAAACTGTAGGTTTGAAGGAATAGTTCAGCCAAAAATGAAAAAGTGCTCATCCTCAGACCATCCCAAATTAGGATGAGTTTGTTTCTTCATCAGGTTTGGATAAATGTAGCATTGCATCAGTGTCTCAGCAATGGATGCTCTGCAGCGAATGGGTGCCGTCAGAATGAGAGTCCAAACAGCTGATAACAACATCACAATAATCCACAAGTAAGCATCTGCTGTTGTCTCTCACATCAAAATCCAGCCTCATATTTGTTCAGAGCCGTTTAAACGCTGCTTGATCTGTGCAGATTTCTCTCCTGATTCACTCGGATAACCTCAGGGTGAGCACATTTTCAGCAAGTTTTCGTTTTTGGCTGAACTATTCCTTTAAGACAAGCATTGCATTTTCACAGGTTGAGCAGCAGTTATTTAAACCGAGCGTGTAATAAAGTTTGAGTGATCCTCTGTAGTGCACTAGTGAGTAAATATAGGGCAGGTCCATAAACGCTCATAACGGACATGCTTCTCAGCTCACAGGAGGGAAAATAAAGATCTATCTTCTTCTGTGTTGCAATCGAATCAAGGACAATTCATCCGGTGTTCAAGAGATCCACTGTCTCTACATTCAGAGTTAAATCACATGTTTTCTAGAATCATATCTGAATGAAAGTCAGTGGATCATTCGGTTTACTGGTGAAAGATTCATGACTGACGAGAACACACGATTACACGCTATACAAGCGTCATGTTTATTTACTGTCAGCATTATCACTGGTCATAAGAAGTCGTATCTGCTGATTCATGTTAAATCAGTGTCCATCTAACATGTCGAGACTCCAAACAAGCACCTAATGAACACAGCGGCGCGTTACACATCAAGAGAAATGGACACTCGAGATCCAGTGAGAAACTATTACACTTTTGTCTTCTTTTCTCCCCTGATGATTCACAACTAATGAACCCTGGTGCTGGAAACTCAAATATGTATTTTCCCTCTGGAAGTCCCTTTTGGAAGACAACATAAAGATTTAATTGGTGCCATAAATTATTAGACTCCACTGCAGAAAAGCAGATGGGTTCACAAAGGCCACGGCAAAATATTGTCTGTCTGTTTTGATTTAGAGCATGAAATAAACATCCAGAGAATCCTACATCTGTGTGTGTGTGTTAGTTTCTAGCTCTCATAAGGCTCTGTTTGAGTGACGTGGTTTAGTGGTTCAGACGCTTGAGAAAGACTGATGCATCTGAATCTTTGGGAGTTTATTTAGAACGACATTGTTTCTTATTTCATGCAACTTCCCCAGCATCACAGCTCTCAAATCTCATTCATGCATATTCAAAGATTCATCAAACCTGGTCAGATCCCACTAAGAGAAGCATTTGATCCCATATGATTTTAAAGCTTTAATTTGTTGTTATTGGATCGAGTTGAATTGAGTTGAACATGAAGCACTAAGATGTTCACCTGCTGACGTCAGTAAGTGAATCAGTCCTTTCTGATAGACGCTACGCTGTAAACAATGATTTTCTTACTTGGATATTTATACTAGAAAACTAGACAAAATACTAAGAATTCTTGAATCAGGATGAATTTACTTTACAAGTAAAATGACTCAAGATATTGTCTTATTTTCTGAAAAAATTATCAAAATTATGTTAATTTTTGCTTGAAACAAGCTGATAATGGGGCAAGAAAAATACTCTTGTTTAGCTTTGAATTAAGATGATTTTTCTTACCCCATTGGTAGATATTTTTGCTTGTTTTAAGCAAAAGCTTACAAAATGTTGATAATTTTTTCAAAAAACAAGTCTTAATATCTTGTCATTTTGCTTGTCAAGTAAATGCATCCTGATTCAAGAATGTTTAGACATTTATACTAGAAAACTAGACAAAAATACTAAGTAAGAAAATCATTTTTTGCAGTGATAATGTTCATCGACTTCAAAAGGTCTTATTTCAGCAGTAATTCTTAGGGCTGGGCGATATGGCAAAAAATGTAATCTCTTGTTTTTTCAGAACATTTGACGATCGAAGATATCTATTTTAGCGTTTAATTATTCATCTTAAAAACCTAACGATAACATGATTCAAGCAACATTGATTAAAGTCAGTTCTATTCCATGTGCAGCACACATAAAGTTCAACACAGAAGTGCATGAAATATGTACTGTACAAATACTGAACCAAACATATACAAAATAAGAAAAATATAGACACTGAGTTTTTGAAGTCAACTCAAAAAGTCAAGACAATTGTTAGTCAAAATGACTGACAGAATAACAGCATTAATAGATGATTATTAACAGTAAAAGAAACCAGCAGCAGCTTTCAGTCTGTCAGCATCATGCAAACATCAAATATCAGACACACAGTAGTTCTGCAATGCTTTCTGCTTTCCCATTGTTTTTATATGTAAATATATGTGACCCTGCAGCACAAAATCAGTCATAAGTCGCTGGGGTATATTTGTAGCAATAGCCAACAATACATTGTATGGGTCAAAATTATACATTTCTCTTTTATGCCAAAAATCATTAGGATATTAAGTAAAGATCATGTTCCATGAAGATATTTTGTAAATTTCCTACCGTAAATATATAAAAACTTAATGTTTGATTAGTAATATGCATTGCTAAGAACTTCATTTGAACAACTTTAAAGATGATTTTCTTATCTAAATCTAATATTTAGATTTTTTTGCACCCTCAGATTCCAGATTTTCAAATAGTTGTATCTCGACCAAATAATGTCCTATCCTAACAAACCATACATCAATGGAAAGATTATTTATTCAGCTTTCGGATGATGCATAAATCTCAATTTAAAAAAATTGACCCTTACAACTGGTTTTGTGCTCCAGGGTCACACATGCATTTAATGGATGTGTTTGATCATCTTCTGCATTATATCACGCGTGAAACAGCATTCTAAAAAATGCAACGATCAAGTTAAAAGAAGTTCAGCTCACATCTCATAACCTTGCATTTTTCCAGCGTCTCAACCCTAGTAATCCTATATATGTACTAAGCAAACAAGATTTTTTCCCCTGCTAGCCTTAAATTCACTGACTCACGTTCCTGCAGTTCCATCAGCTTTTATGTCAAATCACCAAACAGATGCTTTTCATGTTTCTGTGTGGAGTCTGGCGTGAATCATGTCATCTGTCTCTGTCTCGCACTGCTTCTGTTCTTCTTTCACTCATGTGTCGCTGATCACTGCTGTGTGTTTGTGCTGCATTAACCCACACCATCCATATGCTGTTCACAGAAACAAGCGTCTCGCTCCCACTCAGAGTGCTTTGTGTGAGTGTGTGTGTGTGTGTGTGAGAGAGAGAGAGAGAGAGAAACATTCATTGGAAATGGTGATACTGGTAGGGTGGCACATATATGAGTGTGTGTGTTTGTATATTCACATCAGTGTTGGGATTATTCTGGTAACAGGTCAGAAGTCTCTTCTGCTCACCAAGGATGCAATTATTTGATGAAAAGTACAGTAAAAACAGTAATATTGTGAAATATTATTACAGTTTCAAACAGCTGTTTTCTATGTGAATCTCTGTTAAACTGTAATTTATTCCTGTGATGCGCAGCTTTTATTTGAAATAGAAATCTTTTGTCACATTCTAAATGTCTTTAATGTCACTTTTGATCAACCTAGAGATGAATAAAAGTATTATTCTTTTATTTATTTATTTTTTAAATATCCCCGATTTTTGGAATGGTAGTGTATTGTGGTTTCCACAAAAACATTAAGCAGCAAAAGCTTCGATAATAATTAAAAATAACATATTATTTTTACGGAATGAACACACTCCCATATACATGTACAATATATATATATGCATGTACTGTAAGTGTTTATTTAAGTTTTAGTTATTTATGACTAGCTTGTGTATGTTAAAGGGATAGTTCACCTTCACTTGCTGGTCCCACTGACTTCCATAGTACGGGAAAAAACACTATTCAAGTCAATGGGGACCAATTGAAGGTGAACTGTCCCTTTAAATCTATTTATTAGATTTTGTGAGCAAGTGTGTAAGCGCTGCTTCATCACAACAACGAGAGAATGCTTCAGAATTTAATTCATTATTGACAGATTCATTTCTTTAAAGGTTTTAATTTTAAAAGGTTCGTTGTTTTAAATAGCTTTAAGTTATCAATTTATGTTTTGATGGAAACGTTAAGTCATCTAAATGGGTACCGTCGTGTTCGCTTTATTATTTAAAAAATATTTTAAAGTCTGTTTATATAGAACAGTGTACATGTTTTAATAACTGACTAGGATTTGTGTTGTTTTTAGAAAATTGTGTTTTATGTTTGTTCATTGTGTGGCTCACTCCCTGGTAGAAGAGATATTGTATCTCAATGGGACCTTCCTGGTTAAATAAGTAAATAAAATAAAAAATGTAAAAAAATTTTTTTACAAAGTTTAATTACTTTCTCGCATTATTAATTATCTCATTATTCGCTATTCTTTTTCTATTCTGTCTACTTGTTTTCTTTTTATTTATTATTTAAAAAAAACTTTTTTTTCTTTCTCCCTTTTTCTCCTTAATTGGGGAGTTGTTTCATATACATATGTATGTATATAAATATATATATGTTTTTTTAAATTCTATGCACTGAGATGTATGTATGTATAGGACTAGAGCTGTATATGCTGTGTAGCATAAATTTAATATGTTTAATATCTCTCGTTATTTTTTTTTTTGTCAATATTACTTTATTTTTGTATGTGCATTGTTAATATTAAACTAAATTTAAAAAAAGTTTTAAAAAAAGCTATGTGTACTGCGTTTGGCTAAAGGAGCACTTGCATATTATTGCTCTTTTGATTGCTTCTCATTTGTAAGTTGCTTCGGATAAAAGCGTCTTCTAAATGCCTAAATGTAAATGTCTAGATCTCATGGCGTTCCCAGCCTACACTAATGTTCTCATGTATTTTCTATCTTCTCCAGGATGATTAATTGAGCGCCATCATGATCGCCACAGGGGGTCTGCTGCGGATTTCTGCCAGGAGACAGGACTCCCTTCATGCGAAGAACCGCGCCGAAAACAAGCGCAAGAGGAAAGAGAAGAAAAAGAGGAAGAACGAAGTGGTCGTGGTGAAAGGAAAGCTAAAGCTGTGCTCCGTATCTGGACTGGTCGCTGCCATCGGGATCCTGGTGCTGCTGGTTGGAGTGGCCATGGCCGTATTGGGCTACTGGCCCAAAGAGAGTCCGCTTTATCCAGGACTGATGAACGCACAGAGGACTTACGACAGCCGAGAATTAGTCAATGTGACCGGCAGACCGCCTTGGGATCTCCTAGATAAAGACTTCAGGAGCTATAATGGCTCCAATGGGCCTAAACTGGGAGCATTCGCTGCATTTATCAACAGATACTTATATTCGGACAAGCTGAAAGTGTTCGGACCTTTAATCATGGGCATCGGGATCTTCCTATTCATTTGTGGCAATGCAGTACTTCACGAAAACAGAGACAAAAAGACCAAAATCATTAACCTCAGAGACATCTACTCAACAGTGATTGACATTCATAGCCTGCGGAGCAAGGAGTCGGCGCCGCTCAACGGTTTCGTGAACTACTGCCAATCGAAAGACACCAAATCGTACGGTTCCCCTCATAAGGGCTCCTGGCCGTCTCCAGGCTCTGAGCGACACGACGCAGGTAATTTGATCCCATCCCGACGACCGTCTACCACCATGCCACGAGCCTCGTCTTTGGAAAGACAGGGCTTTACGGACACCGTCTACAGCATCTATCGAGATCAGAACCGAATTGGCAAGGAATGGGAAACCAGGAGCATCGTGTCCACTTCGGTCAACGCTTTCACTTTGCCAATGATGAAGCTCAACCACCGAGGAGCTTCGGAGAGAAGGGGTTCGGATAAATCCGGAGAGGCCAAACGAGAGTTCCTGGACGCCGAGGCCATTTGCAGGCGTTTGGAGGATTTGGTAGCGTCCAGGACCATCACGAAGGCCAAAGTGGAGCCTCATCCCAAGCTTGCGCCGGATTCGGTGGAGGTTTACAGGAGCAGTGGGAGTTTGCAAGGTGCTCCTCGCGTCTCTCTGCAGGGTTCCCGGGTTCAGCTGCTGCCGTCTGGTTCTCCGAGTCGCAAGGCCGCCGGATCTCACCTGTCCTTGAGCGCTTTGTCTGACTACTCCAGGTCTGTCGATCTGGATATCTGTCCAACCACCCCTACTTTGGTGCGATCGAGACGTCTCAGCTGTCCTCGGCTGGAAGGCCTCGGCAGCGGAGGCTACACCAAACTTGAAGGCCTTGGCGGCGAATCCTTTGAGTCCACAGACAATGCCACGTTCAGTCGAGAGAGCTCTGTTGAGGTTTTGGAAAAGGACCGGGAGCTTCATGATGAGACACTTCGGCAGGAGTGTACCACGATCAGACAGTATTCAAAGAAACAAAAGCTCATAATGGTTTCCCAGTCGGATACCACTTTAGAAGATGTGGAAATGGAGAGTGTGGACGTTTAACTGGCTGGTAATCTGACATGCAGTGATGGTCTTTAGAAAGCAATCGAGACTAGGGATGCACGATATTAGATTTTTGCCGATATCCGATATGCCGATATTTTCAAATCATTTTGGTACGATACGATATATATTTCCCTTTGTTTTGAAACAACAACAAAGTCTTTCCTGTGTGGAAATTAACAAATTATTTTTCATTTTGGATAGTTTTGAGAAAAACTTATTTTGTTAGAAGTAATAAACTTTATTAAAGTTATTTTTTAATGAGAGTACATTGAAAACCTTGACAATAACTGTAATAAAATCAATCTCTGCTGTGTGTTTTTTTTCTCCTCAGACAGATGCAGTTGAAACCTTAAGATTTTATTTGTGGATTTAACATTAATAGATGGTCTAAAGCAAAAGAGCTGTCAAAATTCTAAAAAAAAAAAAAAATCTTTTAGAGCTCCTTGTATTTAAGTTTTCACAGTCCATATGCAAAAAATATATTACATATTAATGAATAAATCTGTATATATTATTTAATTTATGTGTCATGTTTGTGATTTTTATTCATGTAAGCTATAGCTTCTGACCTGATCAAAATTGCTTTATATATTCAGAAACACAAGTATCTTAATGATATTTGTGTATTTTACTTTCATTTTATTACGTACACTACCAGTCAACAGTTTTTTAACAGTAAGATTTTTATGTTTTTTTAAAGAAGTCTCTTCTGCTCAACAAGCCTGCATTTATTTGATCCAAAATACAGCAAAAGCATTAATATTGTGAAATATTATTACAATTTAAAACAGTTGTTTTCTATGTGAATCTCTGTTAAACTGTAATTTATTTCTGTGATGCGCAGCTGTATTTTCAGCATCATTACTCCAGTCTTCAGTGTCACATGATCTTCAGAAATCATTCTAATATGCTGATGTTGATTTATTATTATTATTATTATCATCATCAATATTTTAAACAGTTGAGTACATTTTTTCAGGATTCTTTGATGAATAGAAAGATCCAAAGATCAGCATTTATCTGAAATAAAAAGCTTTTGTAACATTATACACTCTACCATTCAGAAGCTTGCAGTCAGTATAATTTTTTTTATACTGGGGGGTAAATTATAGAAATTAATACTTTTATTTCACAAGGATGCATTAAATTGATCAAAAGTGATTTAACACATATTCACATAGAAAGCAGTTATTTTAAATAGTACAAATATTTCACAATATTACTGCTTTTGCTGTATTTATGATCAAATAAATGCAGGCTTGGTGAGCAGAAGAGACTTCTTTAAAAACATTAAAAATGTTACCGTTCAAATAATTTTGTCTGGTATTTTTTCAAATCGGCCGATGTTTATGTTTCAGCCTTTATCGGCCGATTCCGGTAACGTTCCGATAATATCGTGCATCCCTAATCGAGACGGTGACTGAAACATCGTCAGTGTGTTAGATCCAAAGGTTCTCAGTCTTTAATACTGTTTCCTCGAGGAATTACAAGCAAAAACCTGATGGGAAGCAAGAGACTTTCAGCATGATAGCACAGCTATGCTCCACTAGATTAAAAACAACTTTATACTTCCAGTAGTAGATTATTTGTGGCTGTTTTCGTTTATCAGTGAAGTTTGGCTGTCTGAGCCGCATGTTTTATACTGTCGTCTACTTGCACTTTTTTAACCACCAAATTATCAATTATTTTTAGAAATTGACTTGATAGCAATATCTCATTTGAAATGTTCCCTGCTTGTGTGGGAAATGTTTATGTTTGCACTTGTATGCTGTCAGTTTTTACTTACTTTATAGTTTGTTTGACTTTAATGAACTTGAACGAACCACGAGCCGATCCTGACGATAGCTAGCCCAGCGGTTCAGTACTGTCTGAAATGTAATGTCCATTACAATATATTCAAAATATCCTGAGACGTTGAAGTGTAGTTTCTCAGATGAGTTTTGGGGTTGATTAATTAAAGATTCATCAACAGTGTCTCTTTAAAGCAGAGAGAAAGACTAATGCTGCAAATGTTCTTACTTAACCTGTTTAATCCCAAATTTTTCCCAGACATGAAAATATCCAAATGATGTGTCATTATCAATAATTATTATTTATTTATTTTGGGAAAAGTGAAAAATTGTGTTTTATGGCGGGTGGGATAATGTACTGAATGAACATATTTCTGCAGTCATCAAAATTGTTATAGATCTTAGCCCAGCTGTTTTAAACAGTTTCATCACATTGCTATAATGCTTAAAACCCCTTATACAACACTGACAGGAATACTGAGATAAAAGACAAAAAATACAACCATCAACGTATTTTAAAATTGTTACTTTAATGTAACATATATCATCAAATGTTTACATTAGTGCTACCAGTTTTACAACATCAATATTGTAACTTATTTGTAACATTTGAACTTAGTGCAATATTCACTGTAACTTTGTCATTGCAACATTTTAGCGCCACCTTCACTAATAGCTGCAATTATCCCAGCGGTCACTATTGTGACTCGTACTCACTCTATGACCACACTCAGAAAAACTTCATCATTTTGAATTCATATATTAATACTAGACACCTTAAAGATATTGTGTACCAAAAATCTTTGTCATATCTTTATGTTGACATACTTTACTAGCCTTTTGTTTTGGAGCTTTGATGCAGCAGCATCTTCTTAAACAGGAAACAGGAAGTAAACTGCTTTGATCTTGTAACAATCTGCACTAAACGTGACACTGCACATATTTCATTGAGACCCTTTATTTCAGTCAGTAATGTTATTAGAGCTTTATAAATGAAAACCGTCTTTACAGTCACTATTGTGAGCGCTGGGATTAAATGGGTTAGATATCTCCGTCCATAAAGCTGTTCCTTTAATGAGAGACTGAAGATAAGGTTTCAAGTGTAATTAATAGTTTTTCTCACAATTCTGACTTTTCTCTGAATTTGGAGTTAATAATAGCTTTTATCTCTGAATTGGGAAATGAAGTCAGAATTGCGAGATAAAAACTCAGAATTGTGAGATAAAAAGTCACAATTACTTTTTATATTTTTTTATCCTGCTTCCATACTAACCAGTGAATTTTGGCATCACAACACTTATAACAGTTTGAAAGATGGATGAATATTCCTTTTGAAATCTGCTACAGGTGAAAATGTAGAGTTTGAATGAATGTAAATAGTGTCTTGAGGAACCTCTGGGATTCTGGTTAAAGTTTAGAGTGTTTCAATGGATGGCTTTTAATATTTAATTTGGTAGAAGAGTGTGGAAGAACATGCACTAGCAGGTAAAACACGATGACTGTATATAGTTCTGTGTGATGCTGTTTGTGCAGGTTCTGAAGGAAGTCTGACTTCTGCTGAAGGAAAGTTGAGTGGAACGCAGTGTGCTGGTTTAATGAACAGACGCTCATGTTGGAGCTTGTCTTTGTCACAGTGTTGAAATGAAGCGGTAAACTCTTCTAATGCTTCCCTCAGCCGTTCGTTTCATCTCCATTTGCCTTTAATAGAACCATCGGATTCTGCTGATTAATGAATAAACAGCAGCGAGCACCGTCTCAAACCACTTTAACTAGTCCTGTGTCTGACTCTGTGCGGTTAACCGGTGTCCACAGATAAATGACGGTCTGTCCTGAAATACTAACACTGCACGAGTTTGATTTGTGTCATGTTCGCCGTGAAAAACTGACCGAAATATTTCAGGTGCTTTCCTCATTCCTCATTTAAATGTTTCTTTTGAAATGTTTTAAATCCTTTCCATGTCCTCAGTGACATCATTTTGGAGGGAGAGCATCAGTAAGTATTATATCAGTGGATTCTGGGATGTTTTGTTGGTCTAAAACAGAGATGTGCAAACCTTTGATTTGGCCCATCATGACTTACACCATAAGGGGGAAATAAGAAAAAAACACATGCTATTAAAGCACAACTTTGTTTAAATAAAAAAATTAAAAAAATGTAATCCAGTTGTATATAATGTTTTTTCTTTTTGTCGTTTTTAACATTTAATTTTTGCATTCAAATGGAGATAACATAAGTGAAGTTGATTTAAAAAATGCTAGTTTTATTCTTATATATTATGCAACATTTACATATTGGTCCTTAAATATTTTTTCGGCCCTTCGTAGTGAAGCGCTTTGAGCACATCTGGTCTAAAACATGAAATCCTGTTCTATCAAAATCAGTCTGATAAGATCAACATTTCAAAAGATCAGATCATGTTCAGATCATGTTTGTTCAGATCTGCTTGAAATGAGTTTATTCTTGTGAGAGAAGCTTTATTCTGCTGGCGGTGGATCTGTAGTTCTGCTGCGTTTGATCGCTTCAGATCTCGGTCTCTGCTTTAGCTGGCGTTTGCTTCTGTTGTTCTGTAATGAGTCTGACGTCAGCAGAACAAGAGCTACTCGAAGCCAGTGCTTTATTCATTTATTTAAACAAGGAAACAGTGAGTGTAAATGCATTTACCACAATTCATCTCATGAATCCAGAAATCTAATGAACTGTTTGTTCTTCACCAGAAACACAGTCGGTTACTTTTTATGGAGTAATGCAACATTGTAATGCATTATTTTTAAAGGTTATTTTCCCCAACACTTTGCATCTTGATTTAACTTCCTGCAACATTTAGATTTTTTAAGCATTTAATTTACATTAATATATTAATAGGAATAGTAGTAGTAATTATATTAATAATAATATTTATTTAATATGTTGTTAGCAATAGTAATAATTATTAATAATACTTTAGCTTTTATGTCAAATATATTAATAAGAATATTAATATTACTTAATATTTTTAGCATTTAAGTTAAATGTATTTCATTTATTAATAGAAATAATTTAATTATATTAATAATAATATTTTTAGCATTTAAATTAAAAATGTATTTCATTTATTAATAGAAATAATTTAATTATATTAATAATAATATTTTTAGCATTTAGGTCTATTTTTATAGATTAATATGAATATATTCCCATATATAAAATATTTAAGTTACATGTATTTAATATATTATTAGGAATATTAATTTAAATTATTAGTACCGTTTTTCTCGATTGCCAACACACAATTCATGAAACA